ACTCACTATTAATCACCAAATTTAAAAATAAAAAGATAAACCGTGGCTTAGCAACACATAAAATATTATATTTCGAATATTAAAAGTCTGTAAGGATTTAAATTCCATATGTCTTCCGGCAAAACAAAAAGGAGACAAGCAAGATTTCCCAAAGTGAGCTCCATTTTCACAAAAAAAAAAAAAAAAAAAAACCAAAAACAAAAACAACAGGTAAAGAATTTTTTTGTATTCAGATTTGAATGATCATGGACAAGGAAATATATTTTCCTTTTCATTAAAATAACTGATGTTATTTAATCAAATACTGTTAAGAAGGTATTTCAGGGCATGAGACTGATCCTTCTCTGAACTTGATGGCCTAATTCCTTCCCAGGGCAGTAGGTCTGGGCTAAATATCTGGGTGATTTTTGTGTCAGGGAGTTTTTAATCCAGGTGGTTGAAGTCAGGAATGACTCGCTGCCTTGACCAGAGTGGCATCAAGGCCCCAGAGAACCTTCTCCTTATATATCCATTTTTAAACAATTCAGCCTCAAATCTGACCTGTCTGCCTTGAAACTGGAATTCTCTGCTAAAGAGCAGCCTCTGGATCCCCAGTATTTCCTTCCTTTTTTAAAGAACTTGTGCACTCAAACACCACAGGGGGTGCTCAGAAAAAAATAAGGAGCTTTTTACCCAAAATGCTGGTGGGTGTTTATGTTCCCACACATGAAATAGCAGCTCCATGGCTCCAGTGCCAGGGCAGGTGAAACACGTGGATCTGTGCAATACAATAACACCAAGCAAAACAGAAAGTGGGAATATCGGGGTAGGAAATTGCATCTAATTTGTTTTAAATTCACAGAAGTCTTAATCTTTTGGGACTTATTTTTACTTTACATATTTGTTAATGCGAAATGTTCTCGTTGCCAAATATGCTTAATATGCAAGTGGAAAGTGATTCTGCTTTTGCCTTTTTTACTCTTCCCAAATCAAAAATAAATCTGTTTTTGCATCCCACACATTTCCCTCCTATCCTTTAAAATACCAGTTGAGAAAGTATAAACAGGAATGTCACCGGGACGGTGGGATTTTCCATGTTGTGGCAGAAAATTCCTGCTCTTCTCACCAGATATTGTGGATTTGGGAGAAAGAGTAAAAGCTTTCAAGCCAGGGAACATTTATTTTGAGTGTTAAATCTCTGCCACTGAAAGTGGCTCTTATAAACTTCATTTAAAAGCAGAGTAGAGGAGGGCTATTCCTTCCCTGCAATTGAATAATTCATATTATTTGCCATCATTTAGGAAAGCTGCTGAATGAGAAGGAATAAATATTTTGAAAAGTAATGAAACCTGTCCTTCAGCAACAGGGGAAGAGAGATGAGACAGCAGCAAGGAGGGACAGCATCTCTCTGGCAAACAAGTGTGTGGTCCAAAGGACCAGTTTAAAGGACCAGTTTTAAGGATTGCTTTAAAGGACCACTTTAAAGCTCATCCACCCAGCTCTGCCAAATGAAAGTCCAGTAGCAAATCCTCTCCGGACAATCCCAAATGAGTCAGGCCCGAATCAAGCAGGGAAAAGCCCAAGCAGGGGAAAATACTCCCCCAGGAAAACCAACCTGTCCGAAAACATCCCAATAACCCCCCATCAGCAAAGCTTTCTCTGCACAGACCAGTCCAAAGCTGTTTGGGGGCTGGAACAAGCCCCCTATGAAAGAATTATTTCTATTCCTGCCTTTGTCATCAGTCATATGATGGTAATAAAATCTGTAACTGTTTCCTTTACACCAGGGCTGCGATTTACCTCGTCTAATAGACAATGCAAATGCTAAAAGGCACATATACATCTTCATTATATAAGCTGGTGCCTGAGTCATTTGCCTCCAGAGACAGTTTTATTCATTTTTATACAATTTGCCTACTGTACAGTGCAGATGGTTTCTATTAAGTAAAATATCTGTTTGCTTCCAAATTTTTAGTTTTCGTGATTAAATTACTTGAAAATGATGGTACATTGTATTACCCTCTTTCATGACTTAATACAGTTGCAATTGCACGAGTATAAAGTGGAAACCCCAGTTTCAGCCACTCAGAAAATGGGTGTTTTGGCCACATGTTGGGAATTTCTGAGCTCTGTTTTATACCTGCTGCAGAATTTTCCCCTGAGCCTGAACTAGGAGAATTATTTCCTAAATATATATCTTAACAGGGAGTTTAAATAAAAGCGTTGGAAAACATGACGGGGGGGAAAAAATGTGGATTTTTGGGGGGATTGTGAAAAAGCTGCTTCTCGTTTATCCTGGAGCGTGTGATGGGCGGCGAGGCCGTGGCTGTGCCGGGTGTGTGTGACATCCATCGCTGTGCTGCCATCGGGTGGATGGCTGGGAAAGCTGCACATTCCCACTGCGCTGCAGGAGCGGGTGGAGAGCACCAGCACATCTCAAACAACTCCTCTCCGACCACCCTGCGAGTGGAGAAATCTCCTCCTGCAGCAGCAACGGGATTGTCCTCAATTTACGTGTTTGCCCATCGAAATAATAATAATGTCCTGGGGTTGCATCTTGCTGAAATGGAATTCTAAAATAATAAATGGAATTCTAAAATAATAAATGGAATTCTAAAATAAAAAATGGTTTGAATTATAAAATAACTGGAATTATAACTAATAAATTGTTTGGATTGGAAGGGAACTTTAAAGGCCATCCAGACCACCCCCCTGCCATGGGCAGGGACACCTCCCACTAGACCAGGTTGCTCCAAACCCCATCCAACCTGGCCTTGGACACTTCCAGGGATGAGGCAGCCACAGCTTCTCTGGGCAACCTGGGCCAGGGCCTCCCCACCCTCACAGCCAACAATTCCTTCCCTATATCCCATCTAACCCTGCCCTCTGGCAGTGGGAAGACATTCCCCCTTGTCCTGTCCCTCCATCCCTTGTCCAAAGTGCCTCTCCAGCTCTCTTGGAGCCCCTTTAGGCAGTGGAAGGGGCCCTAAGGTCTCCCTGGAGCCTTCTCTGCTCCAGGCTGAACAACCTTTTCCTCACAGGAGAGGTGCTCCAGCCCTCAGGATCCCCAGGACAAGGTCCTGCATGAACCTTTACTGAATAGGAGTCAATTCCTCACACCCAGGTACTGCTACAGCCAAAGCACGTGGCAAATCCAGTCACTGGGGTTTCTCCCAGGTCTCCTGAGCCCTTTTCCTCCCCCACTAACACACGTCCAGGCTCAGGTGTCCAGTGGCTTTGCACAGGACCCCCCATACCTGGGTGTTTACCAGAATCTCTTGAATGGACAAATCCTGCTGAGTGTGCAGCAAGTGAAGCACCAGCTCCTGTCACGTGGTGTGACATAAAAAACAGCTCTGGGATGTAAATCTGCCATATTTCACTGCTTTTGAAATTCATAGAAGTGGGAAGAGGTGCAGGAACACAACTGTGGGGTGAGGATGGAAGAGCCCTCCCCAGATAAGGGTCCACTCCCTTGGTGGATATCCCTGTGCTGACTTTGGAGGCAACCAAAAACACACTTACAAGAAAGGCTGGTCCAAATAAATAAATAAATAAAAACTATAGGGTGTCTCTTAGACAATGTTTAATGCTAAACATGACCTAAAACTGATGTTAAAAAACATTCAGATGTATATAGAGCTTTACTAAATGTTGGCAATGCAAACAAGGCAAACTGGGAAGGGAAGGAGTGATCCGGCGTCACGATCTGAAGTGGAATAAAAGTTCCACCCCAAGGCCTGGAGGAGAGAAGCAAACCTTAAGCAAGTCCAAGGAAAGCTGATACAGTTCTGGTGGCTCATGCAAACAGTAGCACAAACCCTTTCTGTTCTCTTCACAACCCAAAACAAAAGCTTGTGGTGTATGCCAGAATGAACAAATCCTCTGCAGGGACAGAGGAGAAAGAAATAAATGTACATCTGTAACAAGTCTCCACAATGTCAAGTAAAAATCCAGATAATCCACTGGCAATGGCAACACACATCCATAAATCAGACAAAGCAAAATATTGCTTTCATATCCATCTGAGATGTTCAGGGAAATAAGGATCTCATCTCTTCAGCTGCCACAAAAAATTATCTGTTACATCAGAAAAAGCAGATTTTGAATGTCAGCAAAAGCAACAAGAACATCTGTTATTTTCAGTGTGTCCACTGCCTTTGGCCTTGAGAGCAACCAGTGGAGAAAACCCTCCAGCAGCCAAGGGCAGCTTCTATGGGTCAGAGAGGGGGGAAAACAGACAGCCCAGCGGGGCTCTCTGAGCACCCCCCACACATCCCCAAACACCACACTGGGGACACAGGAGCCCCTGACACCACCAGCTCAAAACACCACCCATGACCAGGAATACAAGTATAAAAGAGCCAAATTGGAAGTCCAAAGCTTTTTCCTCTCCAAACTGTGAGGAAAAATAATGGTGGAAATGCACAGATGAGTCTGGGAAACGTCATCACACACACAGAGCAACCACAAACACACATCATGAAACAGGTTGTAATCTTTCCACTGTCTCATCCCAAAATTTAGAGTTTTGTTGAAGATGGGAAGCAGGACATTAACATGTACAACATGCCAGCTATCACTGCAACATAAAATTCCTGCTTTTCCATCTGCCATCTCTCAACAGGGTAAAGAAATTCCTCCTGCAACATATGAACAGTTGTCTCTTTTATAGCTTTTTAATGGAAAGCAAATAAAAACTCTCAAACTTTGAATTTATCAAAACCATCTTGAAGAGTCTTTCAAAAGAGTTTTTCACCCTTTCCTAGAGCTGCACCAGCTGCATCCAATCATGCCAAATAATTCTTTCCCAGCTAGGAAGGAACCAGAACAACTGCAGTTCAGATCCATTAGTGTCGCTGATAATGTCGGAACTGCCAAAGCAACACAAAAAAAGGTTCCAGCAAAGTTTATTCCAAGAAAAAAGCAGGGACAGCAGGGCTGCTGCGCAGCCCCTTAAGTACAGTTTTTGAACACACGTAATGCACATGGATAGGACAGTTCAAACTTTCACACCAGAATTCTTACAGCTAATAGGTGCATTTTCTAAACTCTACTTTCTCACAACAACTTTGCTCTTTCTCAAAACAGCCCAGTTCTTTCCCACAACAGTCCCGAGCACCTGTTCTTATTTTTCTCTCATGTTGATGTTCTTCCCAACTACTCTCGTTCAAAACAGGTCCTTGTTCTCATGAGACAGTGCTCTTGTTTTCATGAGACAGTGTTCTCTGTTCCCACGGGACAGCTTCTTCAGGATGCATCAGTATGTTGTCAGGATCAGGGCCTCCGTTTTCAGTCCTCTCTTTTCAGTCCATCTCAGGGGTATACTTTGATCTGGTCAACATCTATTGCTTCGTCAGTATGTGCCAAGGTGCTGACAGACCCGCTGTCACCCGTGACACATTAGATGGTTTTATATGGTTGATAACACAGGGAAATGTGACTTCCAGCTGAAAAAATGCTGCAAACAAATTGCAGGTAAGCAGCATAAATAAAGACAAGATTTTTTCAGAATTCAGTACCATTAGATAATAACCACAGAACAAAATCCTTTCCTGGCTCCTAACACGGACCTCGTTCTCTGACTACACTTTTTTGCAAGTATAATACCCAAAATATATAATTGTAAAGTTGCCATCAGGTGGGTGATGTCACAACTTCAACCAAAACTCAGTGTGAACCACAGCACTGAGGAGGGGACAGTGCTGGGTTTATGTGCAGTCAGCAAGAAAAGAAGTGTTGACCTCAACTCTGAAGACATCACTCCAAGATTTTCATTTTTGAGCCTCTGTGCTCTCAAGACACATCTCCATTAGCAATTTAATGCACTCCCAGGACAGGACAGAACTGAAATGCTTTTGAAGGTCTCTCATCCCTCGAGTCCACAGCCATTTGAATTTTAAGTTCACCAGGAAGTTTTGAATGCACAAAAAAAAAAAAAAAATGGATCCTGCAGAATAAATGGAATATACGAGATGCCACAGCAAAAGTACTAAAACAAAGTGTTGAGACATCAACACAAAGCACAAACAAAAAACTTAATGTGCAGGGACCTCAGAGAAATATCCAGTAATTTCTTAGGACAAACGAAAGGAAAAGAAAGCAGCATAAAAGTTTTACAATGTACACCGATTTTCAGATAACAAGAAAAAATTATGGAGAAGGAAGGAATAAGGACGATAAAAAACGTAGAGGGTGGAAGGTGGTCATTCATAGGGTCTCAGCTTTTCCAGTCACCCAACACCACCAGAGTTCCTGGGTGAGGAGAACCACAGAAATGAGACCCATGAATGCAAACATCGACAGGTGGTTCATCTATAAAAGAAATGCCATGTCTGTCCTGGAATCAATTTATCTGTTGAATGTAAGAGATATATAAATATATAGAATAAAACATACAGAATATATACACAGAATAAAAGCTGATGGCAAAAGGGAACAATGCTGTCAAACCATCCCACCATGGAAAAGACACCCCTGTCATTCCTTCTCCCCACAATCCCAGAATCATGGAAAAATCATGGAATCATAGAACAGTTTGGGTTGGAAGAGATATTAGTCATCTCATTCCATCTCCCAGGAGGACAATCATTCACAGCAAGCCAAAACCAGGATAGAAACAAGCTCTTACCCTGAGAGTACAGGGGGCTTCTGAGCAGCTCTGAGTCCAGAAGGTCTGTAAGACAGAATCCAGTGGAGCTTTAAAAGAATCAAAATATGCCCAAAGCAGCAACACTCGCTCCTGCTCAGTTCAAAGGGCAGAGAACATAACAATTGGTTAAGTGTTAGTGATATAAACCACAGTCACACCAATAAAATCTCTTATCAACACAAACACTGGACAGAAAGTTGCCTTTGTGGTTGTTGTCATTGCATTTGAAGTGTTCTTAGTGCACAACTGCTTGTACTTTGATGGAACACAGGAAAGAAAGAGAGGGAGTGCTGGGATTTTATACTGTTCATTTTTAATCATGTCCCAGTAAAGATCCATCTGCCAATAAAGAATGAGCACTTGTTGAAAAAAACCCAACATTTGATTGCACAGACTTCCTATGGTGCTATATCATGATAAAGATTTGGAGTAATAATGCATACATTGGGATGTAAGTGCAATATTTCAGAGCTGGGGGAGAAAAACTGAAGAACAGAGGAAAAAGACAAACTATTCTCTTTGTGGAAGAAAAAAAAGGAAAAAGTTTCAAATAAGTTTAAAAGAGTAGACATCAAGACTGCAGTGATGTCCAACAACAAGCACCACTGCCAATGGTAAGGTAGGGAGTTAATCCCCAGTTCAGAAAAATCCTAAATCTGTGACCTCAGCAGGACCAATCATGTGCCTTTGGGATTAGGTTCTTCAAGAGAAGTTAAGTCTTGATCTTCAAATATCGGAGTGTGAGTCAAGAACCACATTTTTCAGGCTCTGCTTCAACATGAGCAAGTAATTTACACAGTCTGTGAATCAATTAAGACCTTATAAAGCCTCCTCACTTCTGTGTTTGAAGGTAAAACCTTAGAAGCACTGAGGTGGTCAGTAGCCTTTTGAGGCACCTGATATATGGAGATCTAGTTTGGGTCAGAACTAAAATATAAACAGCTGCCCATGGATATTCACAGATCAAGATCAGTGCACCATTAGAGCAGTCCTGCTCCAGAAATGTAAATACACACCTTTTTTTCACTGAATTAATCCAGATTTATACCTCCTGTGATTTTTTAGCTTCAGGCAGGTGGCCAGTCCTGCCAGCCTGTCTTCTGCATCTTGGATTAACAGTTCCAGCAGTTGGGAACTTGCCCCATCTGCTGAATATCTCAGGTTCTAGTAAAACAAGTGGATCCCTCCTGGCCACAGGCCAGCTGAGAAGTAGAAAGATTTATGAAAACTCTCCAGAAAACATTTCAAACAGCTGTGAGAGAAATCCAGGCAGCATCTGAATCACAGAGTTATTACCCTGCCACTCTGTACAGTATTACCAGGGTCCCTCCAGCAGCTCCATTATTTAATAGACCATTTAATAGACTATTAGGAATCCAGTTGTCTTCATTACAGCAAACAGGCAAATGTGAGGATAATGGAGCTATTCTGTGAGTGGAACAACTGCTCAGAACAAAAGGTGAAGCAACACACTGATAAACAGAGAAGTTTCACAACTGGCAGAAGTAGGAATTTATTATACAGGCTGGAAAATGGAGAATTTCTGGTAGTAAACAGCTTAATTCTCACTCTACATTAGCATAAATAAATATATTAATAAATATCACTGGGAGGGGGAGGCACGTGGTGCCACAGGCCTTCCATAGATCACAGTTTAAAGTGCTTGTGCAGAGGGTGAACATTTTTTAGGATGAGTCAAGACACTATTTCTTCAGGACATCCCCAACATCTGCAAACACTCAGGATGGAGCCAAGGTCCAACACTGCACATTGTTCCTACAGAACCCGGTGATTTAATATTTGTAGGGTCACGATTCAATTCTAAACCAGGCCGAGCGTGGATGAGCCACCGAGGAGGTACCAGACACAGGAGAGAGGACAGGGAAAACCATGTCCAGGGACATGCAGGAGTGCTCAGCACGTGGCAGTGACAGTCCCTAAATCAGCCCTACCTTGAAGCATCACTGGGTTCAGTGGCTGGAGATGACCATGGAAACTCTCAAGAGCAGAGCTGAACCAAAATGCCTCCGTGAGGCAGCTGGGGCAGGCTGAGAACTGCTTTCCGTGATGCAAAATCCTCAATGTTAAAAAACAAACTGGTTTTCAAATAATAGACTTGCAGCACATTTCACAGTGAGATTTTTGAAGAGTCACTAGTTGAGAAAATATACACTAAAATTCAAATTTATAAAGAATAATTTCCTCCTTTACAGTTTCCCTAGAGCTTAACTTAAATAATGGCAAAGCAAATGACCCCACGTTAGGAGCAGCTGTCCCAGAGCCCTGAGCTGGGTGGCAAAACATTTCCTGCCTTCTCCTTGATACAGGAAAATTAATTTCTCACAGATTTTGAGGCATTCCCAGTCTCCTCCATGATGTCTCCCAAGGTTACAGAGCAGTGGGGAGGAGTGCCAGGGCTCTTGTGAAACATCCCAGGAAGAAATCTCAGATATTCCTTCTCCTCCCATGTCCCTTGGGGGGACAGTTCAGAGCGGTGACGGATGTTTTTCAGGGTCTTCATAGAATCAGGGAATGATTTAGGTTGGAAAAGCCACCCAAGATCGTCAAGTCCAATTCCCCAGCACTGCCAAAGCCACCACAAAACCATGCCCCAAGTGCCACATCCATATGTGGCCTATGTGCCTCATCCCCAGGTGCCAAATCCCTCCAGGGATGGGGCCTCCACCACTGGCCTGGGCAGTTGTTCCAGGGCTGGACAACCCTTTCCATGAAGAAATTTTTCCTAATATCCAACTTAAACCTCCCCTGGTGTAGCTTGAGGCCATTTCCTCTTGTCCTGTCCTGAGATGGTTGTTCCTTCCTCACTAGAAACTCAAATCCTGGGTATCTGTCACCAAAGGGTCCTGCAATGTTACTTCTCGACACAGCTTTTACCTAATCATTAACCAAACACCACAGTGTTTTGCCAAATTTTTTTGGTTTTAGTACCTCCTAAAGCAAATCCAAGTATATCTTAGTACTTCCTACCTTTTAATGAAGAAAAATTCCAGGAACTTATAAAACTTACTTGTTCCTACAACAAATAAAAAAATTTCCTTTTCCAGATCTGAAACATTTACATGCCTTTTGTCTGAACTGTCTAGCTTTTCCAAGTCTAGGAGTGACTGCTGCATCCAACCAGGAATCTCCCTTAAGGTCTTCTGTTGAGGTTTGTGACAGGTGAAGACCCCAAATGACCTGGAGCTGCTGCCAGTGGGGATCCCACACCATGGGAAAACACAGGATTCTTTTGTTGTTGCTCTTAAAACAGCATTTCAAAGGAAATACAAATTTTTAAGTGTTGCTAGAATGAAATTAGCCACTAATCTTGCTTTCCCACTCTCCGTGGTGTAAATTAAAGCTGCTCCAAGAGTTTCCTCCACGACACTACTGGTGTAGGCATTTACAGCCTCAAATCTGAAATAATTTGGGCATTTTCATTTTCCACACACTCCAACTTGAAAGGGAAGTCAAATAAGTATGTGGGCTTTCAGCTCTGCCCATGTGCAAACCATTTTAAAGACAATTAACCTTTCAGTTCTAGGTCTAAAATCCAGCACTTTGTCAGAGCAAACTCCTGTGCCCGTGCTTAGGATGGACCACATCCAGTAGCTCTCACTGCTGGAGGTAGAGAGCAAGCAAGTCCTCTTTTCCAGAGCTCCTGTGTAGCTTTAAACAAACAGGAATCCACTATTATTCATATTAAATATGCTAATATAATCTGAACAGAAAATTGGATCACTCAGAAAAATACATTCGGGGATGAAAATTTTACCAGAGCCGTCATTCCCACAAATCAAGATTCAGATGCAAAGTGTGAGCTCCAGTGCTCTTAAATACAAGAGAAAGGATGTCTGGGCAAATTAGTTCTCTGGAGGCCAAAGTTGAGAATGGAATAAGAGCATATCTTCATTTTCAGCAAACAGCAATTCTTTTTCATGGTAATGCCATTAAACATTCCTGTCAGGGCAAAATTTCTCTGGGAACGTTCCAGGACAAAAGTGCTTCTTCCTCTGGGATTTTTAGCATGCCAAGGAATCAATATTTTAGCAATGTTTCACCCATTTAAGTGCCTTCCTGCAGCAGGAAGATGGTAATGGATTAATCCCTGGCAGAGTTGGAGGCATTTCCAAGGTGGGTTGTTGTCACCTGGTGGATCACTGGGATGGGGACACAGGGTTTAGCTTTTCCTTTGGCACCAGGAATTAGCACAGGGTAGGATGCCAAAAGTGGAGAGATAATACACAGGGATTTTTCTTTAGATTATGGAAAATTTCAGCTCCATCAGCTTCCCTGGAAGGATTTGGTTTAGTGGTTGGTTCCTGCTGAGGACCAGCGGGTATGAAATGATCATATCCACTAGAAAGGTGGGAAACCAAGTCTTAGAGCCAGATCTCATCATCAAACCAGGAAGGTATATTCATATCTGGATATTAAATAGGGAAGCAGAACTCTGTTCTGGACAAAACCAACATCCAGATATTCCTGCACTTCCAGATTCACCAAATTTTGCTGTTTCTAATCTTACAGAACATCAAAACAGAAAAAAATTATCAGAATTATCAACAGAAAATTGTAACCTGCTCTAGAGATGATGACAAAGCTCTATAATTTCCAAGAAAAACATCTTTCAGCATAGCTGACAACTCAGAAAGTGCTATATTTGTACCAATATTTGTAGCAGCATCCCAGGCACAGAGGATAATTCGAGGAGAGACAGGAGAAAAGATGAGAGGAGAAAATGGAAGTGTTTCTTACTTTGCAGCTAGACTTCAACCTTCCCCAGATGAAAATTATTTCAAGATTATTCCAAGAGAAAATAATTTCAAGAGATGGGCTTCGAAAAAAAATACATTAAATTAAAATCTGTCGCCACCTCCACGTAACGAAATGAACTCTCTGCCAAATAAATGCTAAAACTTTGGGGTTTATTTGTCCCAGTTGTCATCCACGAAATGCTACCACGTCTCTTCAACATCTGGGACTCATCTCTCCTAATGACTCCCTGGTCTGCAGATGTGCAACACCACACAGAGTTAATGGCACAAAAAGGGAGCGAATCGAAGGTGCGTGTTAATGATTAGGGGGGTGATCACAGGCAGTTCAGAGAGTGGAGGATTTACATCAGGAGCATGGAGGCAGCCAGCACAGAATCCAGAGCAGACAGGCCTGACTTTCTCACTTAGGCATGGTTTTTAGGCTGGGTCTTGCTACAGGCTCATGGGCTTCGCTGGGGAGAGCAGCAGCTCAAGTTACAGAATCACAGAATCAACAAGACTGGAAAAGACCTCTGAGATCATCGAGTCCAACCCATGACCCAACACCACCTTGTCACCCAGACCATGGCA